GTTTGGCAGTACCGTGGTCTGGAAGGAAGGGAAGGAGATGTGGTGTTTTTCAAAGGGATTAGAAGTAGGGAGTGAGTACAAGAGAAAACATGCCTCTGCAGGCTTACAGACTCTTCTTCAGGGAAGGTTTCCAGTCATTGCTGTTGTAAGAGAAGTAACTCTCTTTCCTGGGTGCAGGCCAGGACCCAGCAATCTGCCTCCCAGTGAGAGCTCTCATTCTTGGGCTGAAGCAGCTTGCTCCCTCTTTGTTTTGCAATATGCACCATTTCCTTGTTGAGAACACTCTGTGGTGAGATGGTTTGAGAGCCCTTCTGGAAAATGAGAACGGTGTTCCTGAGTCTCTCATGTCACGGAAGACAGCGAACCAAACTCTCTGCAAGATCCCAGCTGATGATTCACCAGCCCAGTCTCGTAAAATCAAAGGCTGGAGTGTGTTGGGAAAGACTTCAAACATAGCAGTTGTGCATAACACAGTAGCTGAACACTTCCAAACATAACATGGTAGATGAACACTTCCAAATCAGGCCTGTTGGTTCACGCTAAGCGACGTGATTGTTCCCAGTCTCTAAATGGCTGGGACAGGAGAAAGTATTTACCTCCTCAAGTGAATTTATGGGGGTATTCAGAAGAGAATTCTGGAGACCTAGGCAATTAGTGTGATCAAAGAATTAATGACTAACCAGGAATGTAGAATGTTCCAGCTTTGGTCTTAGGAAGCTGAAGTCTCATTTTAGGCAGTTTTGTTTGTTTAGATCTTTTTGTTGCTGTAGCTTTGGTTGTAACTTTCACGGTCTCATCTTTGTCACCTGGTGCCGTCAACTGTAATTTCTACATGCATCTTGTTATATGTAGTAGTATTCTGAAAGCCCTGGTCATAGCTGATAATATATGAGCTTTAATTTAAAAACTAAGTCACCTGCTTATTAAGATTATGGAAAAGGTTTGAAATTGGCCAGCTGTTCTGTAAATGCTGAGCAGAAGAGAAGTAGAATTTCAGAATTATACTATCAGTCTCATGTTTGTTGGTTTTTTTTTTTGGATGACCCATTTTTTCTTTGCTATTTGGGATTATAAATAATTTCTCCAGGAAAGCAGTATTTTATTTTAAATGCATCTGATAAAATGCAGGTGACAATGTTTGCTATGATTTCCTTATTTTTTAATTGCTCTTCTTACAAAGCAAAAGTTCTTTGGTGAACCCCACAGCAGCACTTTTGTTTAAGTGGGATCATGGCTCTCTTCTTAATTTTGGTCAGTTTTTGGTTCCTATATGCCGTATCCTGCACCTGTGTTGGAGTAGACCCATACCCCTGTGGTCACCTCTATCACTTTGCAGTTTTGCCTTCCATCACATTAACATTTATTGCTCTCTTTACAGCATTGCCTTCACTATATCCACTAGAAAACCTACTAATGCTAATTACTTGCAAATAGTAATGGTAATTTTAATGACAACCTCAGTAAATTGCTTTTTATATGCTGTAAGAAAATTGAAAACTAAATGTCCATTTTGCTGCTTAATAAGAATCTTATAGAACAGTTAATATTCCTTGTGCTCCTTCTGTCTAGTGGGAGCACAGATAAGAAGCTCCCAGTACCTATTGAGAAGCTTTTTTTGGGTACCATGGGGTGGGTTAACAGGAGTTGAGGAGACACAGTAGGTACAGAAAATGAAATAGAAATGGAGGTTCAAAGAAAATGAAAGATGAAGGTAGAGAGACTGTGGAAGAGGGTGAAGCATGAAGAAGACCAATCAGGGTAGAGGAAGCCCTATTAAGACTTTAGGAGCACCTCTGGATAAAAAACTGGAGCTTTTGGCTGTCTTCTTTCTGTGGTCTGTGGGAGACAGAGTCCAGGACTCAGTCCAGGACAGCTATGGCTGTAGCCAGGGTGGAGGGATGCAGGAGGTAACAAACATCAGAGTGGTTGCACTGGTACAACCTGCTTTTTCATCCCTAAAATTGGTCAGGAAACATGTCACACATTACATGTGCAGTAGAGGAGCTGGGGGTTCAGGTACAGGCAAGTCAGTACCAATGGTCCTGCCCCAGAGTTTGTGTGTGTGGTGTGCAGCAGCTGCCTGGTGGCAGGCTGGGTTCAGGAATCCCAACGCTGCTGCACTCCCACCAAGGCACAGCTCCTGGCTCTGCCTGGCCTCTGGCATCCCTCTGCCTCTGCCCCATCAGGGCAGCATCCCCAGCTGCTGGATGCAGGCTCCTGCTGGGAGGCAGCAGCATCCTGGTGCTTCAGGCTCAGCTCTCCTGGGCCCGTGCTGCAGACAGGACCCAGCACCTCGCTCACAGCCCTGAGACACCTCTTACCACCCGCCTGGAAGGGACTTCCCACGGCTTCCGTGGTCATCTGGCAGGAGTGGAGGCCTGTGTGCTTTGGCAGAGATTTCCAGAATGGACAAATGCAAAGCACATTTGGGAGAGAGTAGGCTCTGGGTTGGGAAATTGTGCTGCAAAGAAATCTTTACTTGTCCCAGGCTCCTGCCCTGACTGCCCCCAATCCATATCCTAATGCCCCAAGAGAGGGGGAAACTGAAAAAGGATCTCCTTACACAAACCTTTCCCAAAGGGTTCTGGCATGAAAAGTATCTCTGGATAAGATCCATTTGCTTTTAAAGTAGTCAGTACCTGGTAAGAGCCAAACTCCTGCCTGTCTTAATAATTTAAGCTTTGTGGAACAGAAGCTGGGTGAAATTTTGACCTTATAAATTACTGCTGCATAAGTAATCCTCGGGAACACTCCCAGTATTGTTAACTGTTTGTAGTTACCACAGGACTTAGGAATAATTCTGCGCTTTTGCAATAAAAATAAAGCATTAAATGTATTGCAGATTGTCAACTTTGCATTAAAAATATGATTTAAAAGCTTAAGAGAAGTTGGTATTAATGAGAAGAGTTGGTGTAGACAGTCTGGTTTAATTCAGATGCACTTGGTGCACCTCTCCTACATTTAGTCTTGGTTTTAAAAGGTAAGAATAATTTGTATAATGTTAGGACAAGTATGCTGGAAAGAACAGCTAGAGACATATGTATCAAACCAGAAATGCAAGGAGCACTTTACAGCCAGGGCTGCTTTAAAAAACAAAACCCCCCCCAAACCAGTCTGTATTCAGAGCTGACAGTGTAGAGAGGAATGTGAGTGTTGGGCAGATATAAATTGACTGACAGGTATGAATATGCATAACTATGGTTTGTGAACACTTTGCACCTATTTCAACTTTCACCCAAGATAACTTTCGCTGCTGTTTGCACTGTCAGTGACTTGGCTTATGTTCTGCCTTTTGAAAAAGATTGATTAACCTGTCCTTTTGATTTTTGAGGTGCTTGTGTTCACAGTGCTTTCTGTTCATATTGCAATACCCCATTCAGAACTGTTCCACAGAATTTTGTATTAAAGAGTGGAATTCAGCAGTTGACTCCCAGGCACAAATAACCATGTAATTACTCTGCAATCACATAGTAATTAGCATATACTATTCATATATTGCATAATTATATACCCTGCAGATTACATAGTAATTATATTTGTACTAAACATATAATTCTATATACTGTATAAAATAACTTTAAGGGTTCATAGTTAATATTATAGTTGTATGCTAATGTAATGCAACATTTTATATTAAAATGTTACAATTTTATGAGAGGGTTGTATTTTGGGCATCTCATCTCTTCTGCATCTGGTGTTGCTTAATCTGTTGTAGGCTGCTATTATAAGAAATGATGGGCTCTTAATTTATAGTCAAATGTTGCATGTTTACAGTTTTGTAATTTATGAAGATGCAGAAAGTTGCCATTTTATTGTGCAGGCAGCTGAGACTGGGAAGGACTTGGAGTGTGATTGCTAAATTACAAAGGTTAAATGTACAAACACACTGAACATAGTTACAGCACAGTGCTAGAATGAAACACAAATCTAATGCTCCTTAGCTTTGTGTTATTTTTGGGTGGGTAAGATGCATGGGACAGTTGCAGGTGATTTATTTGAATAATGGGAAGTGTGTGTGAGCAGCCAAGGCCCATCTTGGGCACAGTGTGTTCCAACAAATGCAGAGCTCAGTGCAGCATCTCAGCCAAGCTGCTTCGTGTTTCCTGCTGTGGAAAAAGAGAAAAGGTTGATGTCCTGATGTGGGAATGGGAGGCAGAGTGGTAGGAGCATGGAGATGAATGGCAGTGAGTTGTAGAAGGGCCTTGGACTGAGTTTCTGGGTAAAGGTGAAAGATTTAGGGGAAAAAAGGCTTTTTGTAAGGGTAACTTAGAGCTTTGGATCATTTTAAATGTTTTATCTTTGGCCAGCCCCCCCAAGAGGTTGCAGCAGATTTTAGATATTTGCAAAATGTTTTGTTCAGCTTGCAAGTTCTGTAGCAGTGGGAAATTAATGTATTTTCTTGGATCTGTGATGTTGGCATTCCTAATATCCAAAGCAGCATTACAATTATTCTTAATTGAATTTTGCAATCTAATGCCAGTTGCCTTCCTTTTCAAGCAAAGCGTCTATTGGGTTTTAATATCTGGATAATGTATTGAGAAATTAAATGTGTAATTACAGCCTTAACTTACATCGGATTTTAATTTTTCCTATAATTTCTTGTAGTGTGTACGTTTGTCTGTGTGTATGTGTGTGAGAGAGAGAGAGAAAAAGGGACATCCTTGTTTAAAAATGTTTCTTTCATAGCCACTTTTTAATTTTATGTCAGCTCCTTCAAAGTTTAAAAAGCTCATAAATTTTCCAGGGTTCAGGTGGCATCTGTAGCTCTTCTAACAGTGTTTTACCTAAGCATGGAACTTGTGGGTGGCCTTAGAGAGCTCCCAGTTGTGGGTGTTAAACCATTACCCTGAGAAACAGAAGGACTGGTCCCATTTTCTGGCACCCAAAGCTTTGTATGTAACAAACATATGTGTTCAGGATCTCGTTAACAGTGAAATAACCACAAAGCACAAAGTGTAAATGTGACGCGTTTCTCACTGCTGTTGTGTTGTTTTTTCTAGTGGAGCCAGTACTTTCAAAGGGGAACAATTGCTTGGATGCAGCCAAAGCTTGCAACCTAAATGATACCTGCAAGAGGTTCAGATCTGCTTACATAACCCCCTGCACCAGCAGCACGTCTAATGAGATCTGTAACAAGCGGAAGTGTCATAAGGCCCTCCGGCTATTTTTTGACAAGGTCCCCCCAAAGCACAGCTACGGGATGCTCTTCTGCTCCTGTCGAGACGTAGCCTGTACAGAAAGGAGACGGCAGACTATTGTTCCTGTGTGTTCATATGAGGACAGGGAGAAACCAAACTGCCTGAATTTGCAAGAGTCCTGCAAGAAGAATTACATCTGCAGGTAAGATAGCACATGGCAAGGAAGTGATTAATGAGGTACCAGAGAGAACTTTTTGGTGCTGATGGATTTGCCAGGACTAAGGGTCAGAATACCCACGAAGGAAAAGGATGAGTCAGGGAAAAAAAGCAAATGCCTCTGACATCCTTAACAGAGTAACAAAAGCCCTCATTTGCTTACAGTGTGTGCCTTCTCCAAAACTGTTCCCAGCTACTCCCTCGCATTTTGGAGGAGTCTTTAAGTGCCCAATTTAATTTTTATAGATTTCTGATTTTTATGTCCTATTAGTGACCAGGTAAAAATATAATTTTTCATTATAATGGGATTTATTTTCATTGTACATGTAAGTACTGATAATTGGGAGTACAAGCTTCATGTTGGACTTCATAAATAGTCACAATACACAGACTACTCATATGTTTTTAATTCGTTGGAAAAAAAAAAAAATAGTCCATATTATAGACAGAATCTCACTGTCTTCATAGAACTGGTTTAGCCTTGAAATGGTTTCATCTCCCCTGCCTGAGAGGAGTGCTGGGCTGATGTAACTGGGGGGTCATTGGTTCACTGACCTAATTCCCAGCCTAATTCCCGGCAGAGCCCTGCTCCGCTGGACAAACTGGGTCCTTTCCCCTCCTGGGGTCCCTGCAGGTTGGCACACAGAGCTTATTCAGTGGAAAACAGGGCCTCCTCTGCCCTCAGGAAATGTTTTGCTCCTACTTAGAATTGTGTATTGTTTATATTAGAGCATTGTTGTGCTAATGTCATATTTATGAAGTCGTGCCCAAGAATCCTGCTCGTTTCTAATGTGTAAATTTCTTGTAGATTATCCAATTCTGTGAATTAGCAAACAAGGGAGATAAACACTATTGTAAAATGTCAAGGACACTGAAGATACGATCTAAATCTTAATAAGTACTTACTTATGCCTGGTAAAATATTTACTTTGAAGTTTGTTTATGAGATTTCCACTGCTGGTCTTTAGCACTTCAGTTGTGGCTGAGTGTTGTTCGGAGGTGAGGAGATGAGCAATGCCCTTCCCTCCATGGCTTTGGGGGAATCTGGAGACACATTTCCTGTTGGCCACAGCAGGAGCAGATGTAAATCAGAGCAGTTTGACTTGCATTCAGCCCCTTGCTTGCTGATGCTGTTGCAGTTTCTGAAGGCTGGGTACGTGTAGCCTCAGAACAATCCATTTTCTGTTTCCATGTTGTTCCACTGGTATTTTTTGCTTTTGTGTATTGCCTTCCCTACACACAGGTCCTGTTAATTGAGTTACAGTATCTTTACAGTGTTTTCTGTCAAACTGTCAGTCTGTTACAGCGCCAGTGAAACTGGAGAGAGGATTTTATACAGAGACTTCTCCCTGTTATTTGGGTTGTAGTATTCTGGAATTAACTTGTTAAATTAATGCCATTACTCCTCTCATGACTGTGTTTTTCTTTGGTCAGCTTTGATCTAATGTTGTCTCAGCAGTTAAGTTTTTAATGGCATTTTGTTTAATTTAACTTCATGAGTCTGGTGTTGTGCTTTCTCCATTGTAATGTTGCAGGGGAAAGCTTGGTAAAATCTCTGCTTGAAGCTGCAGCCAGCACTGAGATGAAAATGGATTTATTTGTAAATGAACAGTGGTTTCTTTTACATTAGAACATCAAAATTCAAAAGTTTTGGCTCTGCCAAGGCTCATTGAGACCTGGCTATGAGGCTGAGGGGCAGCACTGGTAAAGGGAATGGGTGGGCAAATGCCTGCAGGGTCTGGGGCAGACTCAGTGTGGGCAGCACTAAGGTCCTGCCGAGGTAAAGCAAGCTTGGTGTGTTGCTGAGAGTCACCTCACGTTGGTGTTACAACCTCCTGGGCTCTCTGAACTGCTGCTGGTTTAATACCTTCCCTCTCTGCTGTCATGGAGAGAAGGAATTGGCAGCAAAGCTATCCCAGCCTATCAGACAGTGAAAGACATTTTGTCTCTGTGACTTGTGCACTTAAAGGAAATTGCTGAGATTTGTTCCCCTTGTCCTGCAGGAAAACAGGGACTTGGGCAGGGCAGGAAAGGAATGGGAGATCTCCTTGCTATTGTAACTACTGATAAATATCAGTCATTATAGTAATTCCAGATATGTTTAGAATAATTAACTAGTCAGTAGGTGTGTAATTCTAACTCTGATAACTTCTATTTCATTTTGAAATCAGGAGTATCTAAATGGCAGAATAATTTGAAAATACGGTCTTACTGTGAGACCAGGTAATTTAGAAATATTATTTGCATGCCTGTTACACCAATTAAAGCTTTTTCATAATGCTAGTTTAGACAAGGGGTACAAGTTCTAAAGGTTTTCTGAAAATATGTTCATGAAATGGTTTATGAATGCTGCTTACTCAGAAATGCAAGACTTGAATCTGCCTGTACTCTCTATAAAATATCAGCTGGGCCTGTGTATTTAAACATTACATTTTGAACATTCCTTAAAAATTTTATCCTGGTGTATATATCACCAAATCTGTTCTTGAAGCAGAGTTAAGAGCAGGGAGGCAATCTGGCCAAACTGCAGGTACCACTAACAGACATGGCAGGACGCTTTGCTTTTTTATTATTTTTTATTCAACTCATTAAGCTATCTGTTATATAAGAAATTCTCAATCGAGGGATAAAGAGACCTGAAATGTCAGGAAATGCAAATAAGTTCTGACTTATGTAAACAGTCCTAATTTTCAACTTCATCAGAATGCTGAATGGTTCACTTTCATTATCATTTGTCTGCTGCCTCTGCCTGTATCCTAGTCCATATCCAGCTTTGAAACAATTGTAGTCTCTCAGGCATGTCTGTCAATGCTCAGTGAAAAGAAAAGCAAAAAACCCAAGAAGACGAAGCCATCAGACTTCTTTTTTTTATTGTGTGCATAAACAAATCTAAGAAAAGTCAGTGTACCATCAAAAACTTTCACCAGTGATGTCCTGGAATCGCACAAACCTCTGAAGAACTTTGTGATCTGATCACCTCAGCTAACAATTAATCTTCAGAAAGTTGACTGGCATGTTTTAAGAGTATCATCCTGCTGTAAATGCAGGGCAGGGTGCTTCATATTTGCCATTATCACATTTGACAGTACTGCAAATACTGTTTTGCTTGAGTAATGAAAGTGTGAGTCATTAGTTTGGTCTTTTTAATAATCTGTGTCTTGAATTTGCATACTTGGGGTTTTTTCCTGGATATGTTCAGAAGACACTGACCAGAATAATAACAATACAGACACATTATTTATTGAAATAATTCTATCAATCTATCTATGTGCTGCAAGGATCAGAAAAGAAGGGCAGAATTTTTTTGCTAATAAAACTGGTAAGAGCATGTTTCTTGTCCTTCACAATAATTATACTCAAAATGACTGGTCAGATCATTGAGGTTTATTTTTGAAGCTCAAATAGCCAGAAAGTAGTTGTTAACTAATTTCAGAAGACAGTTGTCTTCTTAATTTTTTGCCTTTAGTTCTGCAAATGGTACATATAGTTGTCTGCAGCTGTTTGATACTGAAAAAAAAAAAAACCCAAAATATGCTTAACATATTTTAGATAACTTCTTCTTGTGGGATATCAGAAGAAAAATAATGAAGTATCCAATTAGGTTCCAGTACATGGGTCATCTCCTTGAAAATACAGTGAAAAATGTTTCCAGCACTGTGTTCAGAGAGCCAAATCTTTATAAATGTGCTTTCATTGGTGTGTTCTTAGCTCTTGACCAGTTTTTGGTCACCTGTCCTATCCAATCCTAATTTAGTTCCAACCACCCACTCAGCTCTGTATGAAGGATGTCTGCTTCTACAGGTATCAGAACACTCTGTGAAGTTATGCAAATGTTGTTATCAGTGCAGAGAAGAATTCATCCACTGGAAGTGTTAGAACAGAAGCTCAGCTGCTTGCTGCATTTCCTGAAAACACCAGAAACTTGCCAAGGAAATAATTTTCCTTGATGATATTCTGTTGAACACTTTTAATGATAATTTAGCTTGGAAAGGAAGTCACTGTGTCTGTGCTGCTTTTCTGTTAGCTGTGAGAATCTGCAGGTGCTTTACACCTGGAACCTGTTGGTGAAAGTGGCTTCTCTGTGAGTCTTGTGGGCTGTTCCTGCAGCAAAAGGCACTGCTGACTGCAGACCCTGCAGCCCCAGGCTTCAGCACTAGAGACAGGTCTGTGGGGAGATGTCATAAACGTGCAGGCAGCTGGTGTTGTCCTGCTCCAGGATGGGGGCAGCCCACCATCACCTTGTTCTAGGAGGGAGCAGTCCTCAGTTACAGAATTAACAGGGAGCAGTGCCCTGGAGGGATGTGAGGGAGGAGATGGAAGAGGGGAAAAAGAAATTTGCCCTTCACATTTTCTATTCATTATAATTCTCTTTCACTTTCCTCACTTTTTTTTTTTTTTTCTTTCTTCCTACCTCTTCCCTTCACTTAGTCTCCTTTCATCTCCTCTTTCCAGATCTTCCTGCAATTATCTGACTTTCACCACCTCTCTGACACGTTTGAATTCTATTACAGCCACTTAGGGTGCCTCCTCACTTGCTTCTCTGCATGTTGTGCTTTTCCTCCCTCAATATCCTGCCACGGTCCAGTGATCATCTGTAATTCAGCAAATGAGAGGGAAAACAGAGGTGCTGCCTCCCTTTCTGAGCCTTGTAGCTGATATTGGTGACAATTCAGTCAGTCAAATAAAAGCCTGAGAGCTCGCTCTCAGCCTGGCTCTACTTTTGCATGTTAAAAGGGCACTTGGTGGGTATTTTTATGAAGGACACAGTAACATTACACAGTTCTGGAGAACAGAGCTGGGTTTGAGTCCCTCGGGGGCATTTATATGAAATTGGCACTTGGAGCACTCTGAGATGATCGGTTTGCTGTGCTTATGCAAAACCAGGACAAGAGCGTAGTTTCTGTAATGCTGTTAAGGGCATTAGGAAAAGGACACTCTTGATTTCTAGAGAAGTGCAGGATGTGCCTGCATTGTGTGTTTGGAGAC